GGGGGGGGGGGGGTGTCTTTGCTTATGAGGCTGACATGAATAGCAGAGTACCTTTCCATCTATTTCCTTCTTCAGGGGGCCATCTGCTCTGTTCCCAGGGCCACAATTCAGATCTTGAGAGCAAGAGCTAACAAAACCATGGACAAGGCTCCCATTCTGTCCTAAGCAGAGCAAGGGCTAGATAACAGGAGAAGCTGGGGGATTCCTAGCTCATTAAGCTACCGATCACAAGAGCACTGATTGTTGGAAGATGTCAACTCAGAAGACTGCAGCGGATCAGGGCGATGACAACACCGAGTGTGTTTATTGTGCTCACTAGTGACACAAAGGCAGAGAGGAGGTGGGCTCTGAAGAGGAGTCCTGATGCTTTGTAGATGCTCAGGAACCACTGGTTGAGTGAGTGAATGAATGAATGAATGAATGAATGAATGAAAAGTCAAGATTTAAAGAGCTTTCAATAGGCTAAATTATAGGTCAAAACTCCAGATGCAATAGAAAGGGGATACATATTAAGCTTTGCCAAATGGCAGACATCTTACCTCATAGAAATAAACGCAACAAGGATTTAGGAGATGTCTCAAGGACAAGCTTAACAGATAACCATATGGTGTGACCTAAGCAAGATAGACTTCAGCCACGTTATGAAGGTCAGAGAAGAAAGAGACCCCCCGGAGCTGGCCATGGCCAAGCCTCATGGTGCCCTGTCTTCTTCGGTGTTTGGACAATGCTCCCAGTAGCACCTCCACTGATGCTCTGGGTGGTGCAAAGGCAGAACACCAGTGAGAGTCTGGAAACTCTGCCACGGGGGAAGCAACTCAGGGGACTGATCATTCTTAGTCTGGAAAAAGAAAGAAGACTTATTGGGGGCATGAGAGGGGACTTGGACTATGTAAAATCTGAAGGGCCATCAAGCAGACGATGAATTAGCTTTATTATTAAACTGAGCAAGTACTTTTGAATGTCTCTATTTACAAAGTACTCATTTGACAAATATTGACTGCTCACTGCTTCTGTGCCAGGCACTGTCCTAGATGCTGGGGCAAGGCTCTCTGCCTTCATGAAGCTGACATTGAATACATAATGGGAAAGACAGCCAATACACAAGAAAACAGAGAATAATTTCTGGAAGGATGAAAGTGTATGTGATGTGTGCCTCACACATTTGCCTTCAAATCTAGTAGGATATGCTTATTCTTTGTTGTTCCATCAATGAGATAAAGATAGACTGTATTTCAATAAAAGGAAGAAATTTCTCCCAATAGAGCATGAACTCTGTCAAAAAGTAGTGGATTCTATCATCGGGAACGTGAAAAACAAAACCTGCGTGGCCATCTTTCAGGGCTGTTGTGGGGAATTGCTAAGTATGAGTTAAAAATGGATCAGTGGTCCCAAGAGCTTTGGATTTCCTAGACCAGTACAATTGAAAACATGGCAGGTGGCAACACAGGATCACCAAGTTTTTATATGCCTAAGTACATTAATAGAAACCCTACTATTATTAACATCTTCTCATTAAAGAAATGTCATTTTTTAGGGGCTTACAAAAAAAGAATGACACAATATCAGAATAAAAAGTTCTGTAAGTAAATTTGGTTATATTAAAATTTCATAACATTGGCCTTACTTTTCTAATTTTGCAACAGACCATCAAAAATCTCATCTTCAGCCTGAAATAGTCCAGAGCCTGAAATTTGAAAACAGAACCAGATGACCTTGAAATTCTTCCTAATAGTTTTCCAATGATTATGCACTACCAAAATGTAGTACATTTGTTTAAGCGTGGGGTTTTGGAGCTGATGTCTGTGAATTTAAAGCCACGGCTCAAACCAGCCACAGGAAAGCTATTTAACTTTCAGTTTCGACTCCCGTGACAACGGGAATAATAACATTACTGACTTGTGGTGCTATGAGAATTCACTGAGGGGCACCTGGGGGGCTCAGTTGGTTGAGCATCTGACTCTTGGTTTCGGCTTAGGTTATGATCTCAGGGTCGTGAGATCAAGCCTGGTGAGCACAATAAACACACTCCGCACTGGGCATGGAGCCTGCTTCAGATTCTCTCTCCCCCTCTCCCTCTACCCCTTCCTCCCACCGCTCACCCCTACTTGCACATGCACACTCTGTCTCTCTTAAAAAAAAAAAAATTTAAAAAAAGAAAGAAAAGAAACAGATTGCCTTCTTTAGCATGTAATACTTGAAACCCTGGCCCCTATTGCCAGGAAAGTAGACAAGCATCACAGCTGGTTCCTAAAAGGATGGTTTTCTCTTCCTCCTCCACATTATTCATTTCCCTAAGCTCCTCCTTCTGCCTTCTGCTGCCTACCTTCTCTAGCACCTACTGGCTTCTCCAGTGAATGCCTGACCCCTTACTACTTTTTTTCTTGCCTCTTGGAGCCTCTTCCCTATCCTTTATTTTTTTCTTTTTCTGCTTTATTTTAGTTTGTCGAGTTTGTGGTGGTTGGTGGAGCCTCCTACATTTTCTCTCCCACCTGCCTGCTTGCTCCCCAGTCTACCAGTGGTACGGCTTCCCCTCAGGTCTTCCCCGCCCTGCCTGCTGCCATCCCCAGCGTGGCCAACAGGGTTAGCAAGCTTCCAGAGTAATCAACAACTCTTGCTTCATTTCTTTGGCAGGCAATGGAACATGTCTGAACGCTGAGGAAATGTAGGTTCTTAGGTCTGTGAGTTCAAGTCAGAAAGCTAAGTAACACACAAGATGACTTACGTTTGAAAGCTGAGCCACCAGTCAACTCTCCGAGGCTCATGCTTTGTGACAATGCCCTGCAGTGTCTACTCAAAAGGATGCGTTGTTCTAACAATAGCTAATGCTTCTCTTGTTTGGTGAGGAAGTGATACTGCGTTGTTATTAACAGTGATCGGATTTAAGTCCTGGACAGGTGCTGAGCACCCTAGAATTCAAGAACTCGATTCGTCAGCAGCAATAAATTTAGACAGAAAGGTGCCGAAATAAGGTCTTCCTATACGGGTCTTAACCGAGAGACGTCAGTGGAGTGTCTAGGATTTGGCATTTGCGTAAATTAAAATGTGCTGAATATGTCCTGCATTACTTTTCATTAATGCCTATGTCAGTCCCACATTTAGGACTTATTAGTTCAAAATGTGGCTGGGCACGCTAGAAGAATAAAAGCGTGGTGTGGTATAATTCTTGAACACAGTCCAATGGATAAAAAACTGGTCCCCAAGTTAGGACATTCAGGCTCATGTTGAGATTTCTTATTATAGACATGGGTTATGTATAACTGATTCTCAGGATTTTAATAGATAAGTGGAAGTTTCTCCCTGTCTGAGATACTGCTATAGTTTTTATTCATGCCCTCTAATTTTCCTTTTCTTTTAAATTTTCTCCATAAAAAGTAGGTCACATGTGACCTTGTGGGATACTGTAAGACCTTTTGCTTTCATCCTTAGTGAAATGGGAGCCAGTGGAGTGTTGGGAGCAAAGGGGAGAGAGGATCTGCCTTACCTTTTAAACAGGATCTCTCTCATTCCTGTGTGGGGAATCAGAGCAAAAAAGGAAGACTATTTAATAGGCAATGGCAATAATAGACCCTTTATATGTAAATAAATTGATGTCCTATGATATTAAAAAGTTTCCATTTTAAGTCAACTCTTCTGTCCCCAAGTACCAAAAACAGACAAGTAGTTTTTGGCGATCAGCTAAGCCGTGCATTCTCACCCAGTTATGAGTTATCAATGCCACATCGTTATATAACATATTTGATTCATAAAATTAGTATGTGCACAAATCTTTTAAATTCTGAATTCTCCCTCTCTCTTTTTTAAAAGATTTTATTTATTTGACAGAGAGAGAGACAGTGAGAGAGGGAACACAGGCAGGGGGAGTGGGAGAGGGAGAAGCAGGCTTCCCGCGGAGCAGGGAGCCCGATGCGGGGCTCGATCCCAGGACCCTGGGATCATGACCTGAGCCGAAGGCAGACATTTAACGACTGAGCCACCCAGGTGCCTCCTAAATTCTCTTTTATAGAGAAGTTCTAATACTAGAAAAATATCCTACGAGTAAATAGGCTCATTATTTATGTGCAACAAAACTTAGGAATAAGCACATTTATCACAGCAAGTTTGTGATGGCAGAAAACTGGAAACAGTATAAATATTCAATTAAGAACATTCTGACAGACACCCAGAACTGACAAATTGAAGGCAATCAAAATGTTATTGTAGAAGAATACCTAGTAATCCAGAAAGCTGCCCTCAGTGTTTGGCTAAGTGAGAAAAATTTCTTAAATAGGGTATAGAACAATATGTATACAGTGTATTTGCAGAGGGAAACAAGAGATATTTAAATGTTAATGGTAGTTTTTCTCTGTGTGATGGCATTACAATGGTTCTTTTATTTTTTTGAATTATTTCAGTTTTCTAAAATGTCTACAGTGAATGTTTATTACATTTGTAATAAATGTAAAATGAAAAAAAGTAATGCATATATTAAACCCAGTTCTGTATAATACCAGTGTTTCTCAACTGTGGGGAGTGGCTGGAGTTCCAAAGATATTTTCAAAGTGGTCCGTGACTACCACTATGAGAATTTTTAGTGTGGTGTTTTCATTAAGATGACAACCTTAACATAATGATATAGACATAGTTTGGATCATCTGGATGATCATGGTATCTTAGAGATGACCAGTGCCCATATTTGCATTTAGTTTTATGTCTGCAAGGTTGACAAGTGCTACCACTCTAATTCTCACAGACTAATGAGAAAAGAAACAGAGTCAAATGTAACAGGTGATGTATTTGCAGCTGGTAAAGGCCACAGCCCACTGCACAAATTAGGGTTTGCAGAATTTCCAATAGAGAAAGTCCTGGGGAATACCAGGCATGCCAAACTCAAAAGAACTTGTGTCATGGGGCGCCTGGGTGGCTCAGTCGTCAGGCGTCTGCCTTCAGCTCAGGTCATGATCCCGGGGTCCTGGGATGGAGCCCCTGCATCTGGCTCCCTGCTCGGCGGGGAGTCCGCTTCTCTGCCCCTCCCCCTGCTCCTGTGAGTGCACGTGCGTGCGTTTGCGCGCTCTCTCTCTCAAATAAATAAGTAAAATCTTTTAAAAAATAAATGAAATAGGGGCGCCTGGGTGGCTCAGTCGGTTAAGCGTCTGCCTTCGGCTCAGGTCATGATCCCAGGGTCCTGGGATCGAGTCCCGCATCGGG